AATTCGATTATAGAAGCAGCTTTGCTATCCATTCCTAAAACTTCGACAGATAGCGTTAAGCATAGAGTTCCATGGTGGACACCAGATTGCCGCAGGGCGCTGTGCCGACGCAATAAGGCCTACAGGCTTTTCAAAAATAACATCAATAATGAGAACTTTTGCAACTACAAACTAGCAAGAGCTAGGGCTCGTAGAGTAATTAGACAAGCTAAAAGAGACTCCTGGCGTAGCTTTGTCTCTAAAATCAATAGCAATACAAAAATATCAGAGGTTTGGTCCACTGTTAATAAAATCAATAAGAACAAAACATCTTGCAAAATTAAAAACATCAATCACGAGGGAACCAATTTCGACTCTCCTAAAGACATTGCTAATGTACTCGCCAGGCAGTTCTCTTACACAAGCAGCTCAGCAAATTACCATCCTGCTTTCCTGACCACTAAGGAAGCCGCTGAGCTGCAACCAATTCACTTTGCCACAGGAGATGACCTTGATTACAATAAAGATCTTACAATAGATGAGCTTGTCCGAGCCCTAGAAGCCTGTAGAGGAACATCCCCAGGCCCCGATGAGATTCGATATGAGATGATAAAGCATCTTAATCATGGTGACATGATTAAGTTGCTAGAAGTGTACAATGAAATTTGGAAAAGCCACACTTTTCCAAACTCATGGCACTTCGCCCACATCATTCCCATATTGAAAGGAGGGGGTAATCCCAAACTTGCCATCTCCTACCGCCCAATTGCGTTGACAAGTTGCTTATGCAAGGTCATGGAACGAATTGTTAACAGTAGGCTATTGCATTTTTTAAATTCCAGACATTTGCTAGTTGACGAGCAGTGCGGTTTCCGAAAGGGACGCCAAACTCTCGATCAGCTAGTAAAGCTGGACAGTCATATTCAAGAGGCAATTGCCAAAAAAGATTTTTTGATTTCAGTATTTTTAGATATAGAAAAAGCCTACGACATGACATGGCGATATGGCCTACTCAGAAAACTTTATGCTTTTGGATTACGTGGAAACTTGCCTTGTTTTATTCAAAATTTCATTTCTGACAGAACGTTTGCTGTCAAATTATTTTCTGACAACGTCACTTTTTCGGACATATTTGTCCAGGCAAACGGGGTCCCACAAGGAAGTGTCTTGTCACCAACATTATTTCTATGCATGATAAATGACATCTTACCAGCTCCTCCTCGGAATCTTAAATACTCACTGTACGCTGATGATTGTGCATTATGGCATTCCAGCAATAATGCAGAATTCTCAGCAAATCGCATCCAATTGGCACTGGATATGATTCATAACTGGGGCCTCCAGTGGGGTTTTAAGTTTTCCATTAGAAAGAGTATTGGAGTAATTTTTTCACATAGGAAAAAGCCGAACATCAGGCTAACTCTAGACAACCACCCAATACCAATTCAAAATTCTGCTAAATTTCTTGGGCTACTTTTTGATAGTAGACTCAATTGGAAAGACCACATTGGTCAGTTAAAGAATAAATGTCAAAAAGCACTAAATTTATTAAAGTGCATTTCTGGTAATAAATGGGGAGCTGATAGACAGTCTTTGCTAATGATATATAAAGCCCTAATTAGGTCTAAAGTAGATTATGGGTCAATCGTGTATGGTTCGGCATCGAGAACAAGTTTGAAAGGTTTGGATGCTGTGCAGAATGCTTGTTTGCGTGTGTGTGTTGGAGCCCTGAAATGTACTCGGATCGAGCGTCTTGAGGTGGAGTCAGGAGTACCTCCCCTCCGACTCAGACGCGGCCAGTTAGCCCTGAGCTATGCCGCGAAGGTGGCTCGAGACCCGAGCCACCCTAATGGCAATGGAGGCATTAGGCCCTTTGCCACAAGACTCCACGACCTCGTCGAGAAAGTCGGTATAGATCTCTCTACCATCGATACCCTGGTTCATTCAAATATAGCGCCATGGGAAACCCCTAACTTTTCTATCATGGAAGCCTGGCTTCCATCAGCCAAGGCCATGGCGCCGGAGGTGGAGGTACGCCAGAGGTTCAGAGAGATCCTTATTAAACATCTAAACTTTTTTCATATATATACCGACGGCTCCAAAACAGATGAGTGTGTGGGTGCGGGTGTATGGTCGACTGAATGTGAACTAAAGTTCAGACTGCCGAATCATGCATCGATTTTTATTGCCGAACTTTTTGCAATTGATAAAGCTATAGATTTTGCACTATCGACGACCCACGATAGAATAGTTATTTTTTCTGATTCACTAAGTTCACTTAAAGCTATTAAATCCTTAGAAACTACTAAAAATGAATTGCTGGGTAATATCATTCGTAAGTTACATGGTGCCAACAAATCAATCAAGCTAATATGGGTGCCAGGCCACTCTGGTATCTATGGCAATGAACAGGCTGACAAACTAGCCGGGTCAACTGACGATCTGGACACTACCATAGTTCGTACAGATCTCAGGTGTTTTGTGTCTCTTATAAAAGCAAAAATACATCTCCTGTGGCAAAGTGAGTGGACCAACCTCCAACTCACAAACAAATTCAAGCAAACCATAGAACTGTGGGACACATCCCACAGGAAAGAGAGAAGGGAGGAGGTGGTGTTGGCCCGCCTTAGGGTCAACGCCTCAAGACTTACCCACCTCACTCCCTACATAGAAAAGAAATACCCTCCACAATGCCCCTCCTGCAATACAATCCTTACCCTAAATCACATCCTGACAGTCTGCAACCAATACAATATACAAAGACAAAAAATTAAGAATTACTTCCAACTAAGAAATAAAGAATTCACACTAATAAATATATTATCAGATAATGAAAAAATAATAAGTAAAGTAATCACTTTTTTAAGGGAGACAAAACTTTATGACCTTATATAGATTGATAGAATAAATAGGATCCATTGGCTTAATAACCTTGGCCACATGCCGCTGGTTGATAGCCAAGAAATCCAACAAAAGTAAAAAAAAAAAAAACTGTTATTATCCGTGTTTGAAAACTTGATGAGCCCCCATTGGCACTCGTGTACGAGACTTTGATCAGCTCGGACCTCTTTTCAGACGCAGCAGCAATAGACCCCTGCCTTATGCCACAAGAGTTACCATGGTTTCCGGGGCCTCTCGTCTCGCTCGGCGCTATTGCTTCTGAGTTTTAACGTAATTTACGTAGAGTAAATTTCTGATTTTTTCAGAATTTTCAGCACTTTGTGCTTTGCCTGCACCTTCAGTGTCTTGTTTTGCAGGTCACACGAAACCTCAGACCCGCAGCACTCTTCTACACCAGGGTAGCCCTTACGGGCATTGACCCCTGGGTAAGGAGGCCCAGTAGTCTGGTGCGTCCTTTGGGCGCACTTTTTCTTTACTCTGAATTCTCTTCTTCTCTTCATGTGACTTCCCTGAGCCTACCGGAGTACCCTTGTGGGCTCCCGTATTCGCCTGGGGGGTGGACATCGAATTACCGTCCTTCGCATTAGGCAAGTTCGGCGGTAAGGAGGTGTCTTCCACATAACTCGATCCCTCTTTGGTACTGGAGAACGCAACCAGGCTTCCATTGAGGGGGTAGAGGACGGAAACTGCCATATTCTTCTCTTAGCTATTGCTGTTAGGTTGATTAACAATAGTTAAGGGGTAACAGGTCCCTTCAGGACAATGGGCACGGGCCCAGGGGTCGGACTCGGTCCGCTACCCACCATGATTGTTCCCGCGGCTACCCCTTCTCCTCAAGGAGAGGGGACGACCCATGACTCTCCTACGACTAATGCGACCTTGAACAACGGAACCCCTACTGCTGACAAACGAGAACGACGATTCTTTTCAATCCCTCATGAGAATGCAAGGTATTTGACTGTCAAATGCGTGAATGGAAATCAATCGCTTTTGAGTGTGAGCCCCTTCATCAAGAAGGTCCTTGATGGTTAAGTGGACGGCGATTTTGATTTCGTCAGGAAATTGCGAGATGGTAGCCTCCTTGTAAATGTGCAGTTCAATTCCCAGGTTAAGGACTTGCTTAAACTGACGCAGATTCATGATCTGAAGGTAACTATCCCCATTGGACCCAATACCTGCAAGGGAGTAATCTTTAGCAGGGATTTGAGAACAATGGAGGAGAGTGAAATTCTGGAAAATATGAAGGACCAAAGCGTAATGGATGTGAACTGCATGGCCAAGAAAGACGGGAATGTGCGAACAAAAACCGGACTGTGCTTTTTGACTTTTGTTTCAAGTAAAATTCCTGAGTATGTCACAGTTGGATATGAACGTGTCCAAGTGCGACCTTACATTCAAAAACCTATGCGCTGTAATAGATGCCAAAAATTTAGACACACCTCATTACGATGCAATGATAAAGATACTAGTAAATTTATTTGTGGCAAATGTGCTGGAGATCATGACACTGCTGTATGTACTGGGAAAACTCTCAAGTGTGCTAACTGTGGAGGTCTCCATCAATCTGGCTCTGCCGAGTGCAGCAGTTTGAAGAAGGAGACTGAAATATTAGCATACATGAGAGGGCATGATGTTAGTTACCGTGAAGCCAAGAGGAAAGTTGAAGGTTTGACTAACAAACCCAATACCTCCTACGCTTCAGTAGCAACTAACAACGGTCCCAATGCAAACGGCATCAGTCAGGAACTTACAACAAAGAAATTGCAGAGTTTAAGGAAACGGTTAATGAATTAATGAGTCAGATTAGAGAATTGAAAAATACAATTCAACATATTGCTGAATCAACCCAGCAAAAGCAGCATCATAAGGAGGATGATACCAAAACACAATCTGGATCACATCTCGTCCAGGCGGCTCCTGCTAGGACTTCGGCTGGTGTTTGGTGTTTCTTGGAACGGGTCATCTTCCACCGGGCATTTGAGATGTAGTGCTGGCGTAGACTGCTTAGAGTACCATGGACGGCGTGCAGCAAGAAGGAGAGTATAATCAATGAGATTGGGGTCAACACCACTCTGCTAGGTCGGATCGCGAATCGTATGTTGAAGTATTTTGGCCCCATAATGAGGAGGGAGGGTGACAACCTGGAGATCATACTGCAGGGAAAAATCGAAGGAAAACGAGGCAGAGGCAGGCAGAAGAGAAGATACGCCGACACCATCAAGGCGCTGAGCGGATGTGGCAGCATGGTTGGAGCAATGAGACTAGCGGAAAATCGTGTGGAGTGGCGATCCGTCGCTTTTGCTGCGTCAGCAAGCGTTCTACGGTGACGCGAGCAAGCCGACGACGATGCTCCTGATATTATAGTTCTACAAGAAACGCACTTCACACACCTCGTCTCTGACGAGGTCATTTCGCTGAGGAACTGCAAACTGTGTCGGAAGGATCGAGAGAGTAGAGGTGGAGGTGGAGTCGCCTACAGTTGCGGAATTCAGTACATATGCTGCATCCCACTTTTGTACATCTGGCAACTACCTCGATGTAAACATAGCGTAAATAGTATATTTATGAATAAGGCGAAAACCCTAGGTTGTTTGTAACAAAGAGCGTGATTGGTAGAACATAAATAGCCAGTAAGTGTATTAGAATTTGTTTTTAGAAACGAAATAAGCTATTTGATATTTCGTTTTTTTTTCTCTCTCTCTTCAAATAAGTGGTTGCAAAATGTGCAGTATTAATTATAATTGGCTTTGAATATTTCTCAAATGCGACTTTGAATTGTTTATAGAAATGACATTCTGCTTCTATTTGAACAGAACTAACAATATTTTCATATTTCATGAGAATAGAAAACACCTCATACTTCAATGTACGGCAGCTAAATCAAATAGAAATCTGCAAATTCGCTGAGAAGGGCTTCTCGAAACTGCACCATCTAGTAGCAGCTGATCAAACTAATGAAGTATTATGAAACATTACATTAACGCAAAACCCCTGTATGAGTATGGAGAATATAAAGACGCTTTATCATTGTGTATCGTATGTGTTTGTGTGTGTGTGTGTATGCGTGTGTGCACAAGTATATACTTGATGAGGTACAGAAATATATGTATCACATGTACTATTACATATGACATTTCCTCTTTGCATGGTCTATTAGCCATTGTATCTAATTCTCTAAATTTGTCTGTCACATTCGTATTTCTCATTCTCTTGTTTGTCAGTTTATGTCTATAAACTATATACATAGGTATATGTGTATAAATGTATATATATATCATATTTAAACTTTACAAAGTTAAGGTTTTTATACATTCCCTTACAAGTTTATGGAATAATTTTCATCCATACGAGATGTCCAGAGCATGCAGTATGCTGAACGCTTGTTTATTAACCCTGAACTACTAATTGGAGAATTTAAAGAGAGGAACCAAGTATTATATAAATTTTATTTCATAATCTTTGATAATGAATACCCTTAAAATCCTGAATATCAATCTCGCTTTTAACCCAAGTATGTTAAATGAACAAAAAAACAATGTATTGTCGACAGTATGATGCCATTATGAAGTATGGGAAATCCGAGGTGAAAACGAGGTTGTCCCTGAAAGTCTTAGCTGACACGCTTGAAGATGAACGCAAGGCAAACTAAAATTGCGAATAGTGGTCGTATTATTGGGATGAAGGTGGTCTTTTAGTTGAATTTCCAGGGAGCTGGGTATCTACCGGTCTGTAATTTACAGGTGGATAAGGTGGGAGGAGGAGGGCACCCTGAACGATCGCCCTCGTTCCGGTGCTCCACGAAAGACAACCGAAGATCAGGATGCTCAGATCAGGAAGATGGCGGAGGCGAACCCCTTCACCAATGCAGTTAAAATACAAGAACCTGTAGCTCCCAGTAACAAGACGAAATAGATTGCATGCAGTTGGTATTAATCACCGAACACCAGCCATTAAAGGGAGGTTGACCGAACGTCATCGCCAAGGTCGCCTCCAATTCGTCCAGCAATATGTAGACAATGATTTGGATTAATGGGGATGGGTAACCTGGAGTGATGAAAAACCATTTTGTTCCATCGCGCACGGAAAGCTCTAGTGCTGGAGGAGAGATAACACGAGGTGTGCAAATTACATTTTTATTTTTACCTCTTAAACTTTGATCTTTCCCATATATAATACTGTCTATAGATTATTGCTGTATGTGCACTAATAACTTATATTCTAATATCTCATTCTATATTTTCCAGATGACAGACAAAACATCTACGAAACTACGAGGAGTGGCCATGTGATATATGAGGGGTATTCCTGCATGGCGTTGACGAACTAGCGGAAATAGAGTGATTCAATTTGGAGAAATATGTTGTATTAGAAGTGTTTCTCTCGTCAGTACGTAGCTATGCATTGCCTTTCCCAGAAACGATCGTATTTATGCAGAACTGCCCAATACGTCAAGGGCAGATACGAGATGGTTTCGTGCCCAAAACCACCTCGAGGTCCTTCCATGGCCAAGCAAGGAATGTGACTTAACCCAGTCGAAAACGTCTGGGCAAATATAGTCAATGTGTGGGAAACGGCAAATGAAAGAACGTCGCAAAAGTTAAAAGAACTATAGAAGTGTGGCTGGGTGGGTGGGGCTGGATTGTGGGCTCTAGATGGGTAGTGGGTGTGGCTGGGTGTATGGAAGTGGTTGGGTGGTTAAGTGGGTGGGGGTGGTGGGGCTGGTGGGGGGGGCTGAGTGGTTGTGTGGGGGGGGGAGGTGGTTGTGTGGCGGTTTTGGGTGTGGCTGGATGTGAGTTGGTGAGGGTTGGGTGTGTAGTGACTGGGTGATGGTGTGGCGGGTGGGTAGTGGTGTGGCTGGTGGTGGCGTGGTGGCGGTCGGGCGTTTGCTCGAATGGCTAGGTAGGTAGTTGGGTGTGGGTGAGGCTGGTTGGGTGAGTTTGGTTTGGGTGGGGATTCGGTTTGGGGTAGAGGTGGTTGGGTATG